TCATGGAACCATCTTGGGACCATCGCGTGGCCTCTTGGGGCCTCATGTGCGCCTGTTGGGGCCATCTTGTTAAGAAGCCAAGATGAGGCCAACACTGGAATAAAACTTCCCGCCCCCCCCCCCCCCCCCCCCCCCCACACACACACACACACACACACACACACACCACACACACACACACACACCACACACGCCCCCCACACCCACGCGCACACACACGCACGCACACACACACACACACACACACACACACACACACACACACACACACACACACACACACACACACACACACACACACACACACACACACACACACACACACACACACACACACACACACACACACACACACACACACACACACACACACACACACACACACACACACACACACACAAACACACACACACACACACACCACCCCACCGCTCATGTCCAGGAGGGGGGTGAGAGGGGAAAGGTAAACATTTCTCCGAAAGGGAAGAATGGGGCTTGGAAGAGGACGTTCCCTAACACACCTACGCCCAGAGAGCTGGTGGCAATCATTATACTTATTCTCTTCCTCATCCTCCTGCTCCTCCTCCTCATCAGATTCAAACTATTCCTCCCCACTCCCTCATTCATTCCTCCAGCCTCCCCCGTGTCAACATCCTCCCCGTTTCGCACTTTTCGGCAGCCCACCTCTTGGCTCTCGTACTTCCCTGATCACCTCACTCGCTTGGACATCGTTGCTGGATGGGCTGGTGGGGATGCGCGAAGCGTATGGGTGGGCCGCTGGGGATACGCGAAGCGTATGGGCTGGTGGGGATACGCGAAGCGTATTTCAACGAAGTTCAACGGATTTCACTGGAATTTCAACGCTGGGGACTGATGGCATGATCGGGCACGAGGAGGAGGATGAGGAAACTGAGACGGACGAGGAGGACGTGGGTGAGTAGGATGCGCGCACGCAAAGATCAGAGGATGACGCGAAGCAGGAGGAAAGAGGGAGGGAGGGAAAGGAGGGAGGGAGCGAGGGAGGGAGGGAGGGCGAGGGAGAGGAGGAGGACGAGGATCTCGAGGAGGAGAATGGGGGGGGGGATTAGGACGAGAAGGAGGCGAACGAGGAGGGCGAGGCGAGCGGCCGTGTCCTGGAGGTCCGCCGCCGAGACGCCAGCAGCAGCCAGCACCTGGGCAGCACGTGGAAACATACGGTGGCACGGGATATCCCGTGCCACCGTATGTGTCCCATCGAGGGTGTATTGCAGCATCGATGGCGCTCCTCCTCCTCCTCCTCCTCCTCCTCCTCCCTGTACTCTTCCCTGCCTTTTCTATTCCCGTCCACAACCTGCGCCGCGTCGGCTGCTTGCCCGCGCAGCCGAGCTGCCTGGGGAGGGTGCCGAGGGAGTGAGTCGATCGATCGATCGATCGACGCTCTCGATGAATCCATGTATTTTTGTTGATACCTAAATACAAACATACTTGTATCTCACACACACATATACATATATATATATATATATCAACAAATATAAACTTATTCATCGAGAGAGCTGATCGATCGATCGATCGATCCACTCCCTCGACTCTGCCTCCATGAGGCTGCGCCAGCACTCGTTGCTGAGCTGCGCCCCGCCCGCGTACGTGTGCCCCTGTTGGAGGGGCTCCACGTACGGCACAGTCTCGACCTCCGCGGCACCGATCGGAGTCGGCGCCGCGGTGGACGCGCAGCCGAGCGCCTCCTGGTGCTGCTGCTTCTGCTGCTGCTGCTGGTTCTGCTGCTGCTGCTGCTTCTGCTGCTGGCCGTGCTTCATGAGCTGGTCGAACACGCCGCCGTCGCCCACCCACGACAGTGGAGGCATCGCGCCCACTGCAGTCCAACGGGAAGGTGCAGCACCAGGGCAATCGAACACAAACGGCCACCGAAGGAGGGGGGGGGGGAATAATCGACACGTCTGTATATAACCAACTTTCGCAGTGTATATTCGACACGCATGTTTCCACGCATATTCAACACTTGATATCGTATGTAATGATATACATAGTGGTGTGTCAGCATGTAGTGTCTGATGTTGCATAATCGCGCGTGTAGTGATTCGGCCCGGGAGACCCTCGGGGGAGCCGTCTCATCGCCTCGCCGGGTGTCTCCCCGGGGAGGTCCCACTGGATGTTGTTGATTTCTGTTTTGTGCAGCTGCTGTCCCGTGTCGGGGTCCTTGGGCCCTGGCCGCCGGCGCGGGTCGGGCCCTTGGTGCCGCCGTGCATCCTGGCCGCAAGTCTCTAACGTGCCAGCCTCGTTGTCTCGGCCGGAAGGCTCGCGATCTGCTCGCGACAGGTCCGGCTGCGCGCCTGGCGGGGTTCTGCGGGGAGAAGCAGGCCGCGCGGTTGGCCGCCAGGCGGGGGTCGGATCGTATCCGGCTTCCAGGGCGGACGCTGCCCTGTGGTACGCGGGGGGGGGCCCCTTCGCTGGCGTTCGCCTTCGGGCCTGTGCCCGCCGTCGCTCCCCGGGGCGCCCCCTTTGGTCAGCGCAGGACTCTCGCCGGTCTCCGGGGCGCCGCTGGTTGTGCCAGGCGCGCGCGCGCACGGCGACGCAGCTTCCATTGCCGGGGCACGAGGTGCTTTGCCAGTTGCGCCCTGGACGCCTGGAGAGGGCGCCCGGGGTTCGCCGCCCTAAGAATGGGTTCGCTGACAGGGGAAGGGGGGCGAATAGGCGCGAAGGGGTTCCTCCCGACGAGGCAGTGGATGGCTTCGCCGTCCTGCGTCTGGACGGTTGGTCCGCGGTCCCTCTGCTGGGTCTGTGGCGCTCCCAGAGGACTGCTGACGGTCTGATTGATCTGATGGGGACGTGGGGGTGGCACGGTGTGGCAGGCGCGCCCCTGCTGTCCCGGAATCTCGATCGGCTGACCGTCAGCACTATCGGGGGCCAGCCCCAGTCCACCCGGTTCTAATCCAGAGACACGAGAGAAAGCTTGCGCCGCTTCCGCACCTTCCGAAGCTTCCGCCGCTTCGGGCCCGCGATACTCCGCGGCTTCCGCAGCCTCCGCCGACTCCGCCGTGACCCCCCTCTCCTTTTCTCTGCCCTGTGGGTGCTGCCGAGGGAGCACGGGAGCCTCAGCGTCCTCCCGTGGGTTCTTCTTGGGGTCGCTGGGTGGCTCTTGTTGCTGCGGCGGGGGGGGCTGCTGCTGCAGCTGCGGGGCACTGTTGCTGCTGCGGCTGCAGCTGCTGCCGCATTGCTCTGATCCAGAGACCCAAATGGGGGCTTGCGCCACTTCCGCACCGTCTGGGGCTTCCGTCGCGGGCCCCCGATACTCCGCGGCCTCCGCAGCCTCCGCCGACTCCGCCATGACCACCCTCTCCTTTTCTCTGCCCTGCGGGGTGCTGTTGCTGCTGCTGCTGCTGCTGCTGCTATTGTGGTCGCTGGGTGGCTCTTGCTGCTGCTGCGGGGGGTGCTGCTGCTGGGTTATGTTGCTGTTGCTGCTGCTGCTGCTGCTGCTGCTGCTGCTGCGGCTGTTGCTGCTGCTGCTGCTGCTGCTGCTGCTGCTGCTGCTGCTGCTGCCTTGCTGCTGCGGCTGCTGCTGCTGTTGTTGCTGCGGCTGCAGCTGCCGCTGCGGGGGATCGCCGAGGGCCGCGGCGGCGGCCGCCGCAGCTGCTGCGCCAGCGGCCGCGCCGCCGGCGGCCGTGGGGACGGCCGCGGCGGCGCAGGCCGCGGGCACCGCCCCCGCGCTGTCCTGCTGCAGTGGCTGCTGCTGCAGCTGCGGCTGTTGCTGCTGCTGCTGCGGCTGCGGTTGCAGGTGCTGTTGCTGCTGCTGCTGCTGCTGCTGTTGCTGCTGCTGTAGCTGCTGCTGTTCGGCGGCCGCCGCCGCGCCAGCGGCCTCGCCGCGGGCGGCCGCGGGGGCGGCCGCGGCGGCGCGGGCCACCGAGCCCGCCGCGCCGCCGCCGGCAGCGGGGAGCCGGCAGCGGCGGCAGCAGCGTCCGCCGCGACAATGGCCGCCACGGCGCCGCCGGCCGCCGCCGCCACCGGAGGAGATCCGGCGGCGGCGGCAGCAGCGGTGGCGACGGCAGCGGCGGCAGCAGCGGCGGCGGGCCGCGCCGCCGGCGGCCCCCGGGACGGCCGCGGCGGCGCCAGCCACCGCGCCCTCCGCCGCCGCCGCCGCCGGCGGGGAGCCAGCAACGGCAGCGGCAGCGGAGGCGGCGGCGGCGGCGGAAACCACCGCCAGCCAGCTGGCCGCCTCCGACGGCGGCGGCGGCAGCGGAGGCGGCGGCAGAGAGCCGGAGAGACCAGGTGCGGCGTCTCGCCGCGCCGCCGCCAGCCGCTGGCGGCGGCGCAGCGCGGCCCCCGAGAGGGCAGACATGGCCCAGGCCCGATAGCGCACCTGAGCGAGGGGCGGGCTCGAGCCGAGACGGCTTGAGCCAGGGCTTGAGCCAAGGGGGTTACGGACATGTGGGGATACTCGAAGCGTCAAGAAGTTCGAATTTCAGCACATTGTCTCGACAACCAACCAGGAGGGCTTCGAGACGGCCCCATAGTCGCACCAGACAGCTCAAGATGGCTCAGAGAGGCCCTCCAAAAGGGCCCGAAGAGGCCGATGATGTGAACCACTGCTGCGTGTTTGAAAAGCTTAAAATGGCGCACGACGCGCGCGACAGAGCCAACCCCGCCCCCGCAAAGGCGTGGTGATCACGCTGTCCACTATACCTCTTGCACGGTGTTGCTCCAACGCTTTGAGGCGTAGGCGATTCGATTTCTAGAGGCAAGGGGCAGCGGTGGTTCGCCGTAGGCATCTTGGAATATTCACGACGAGTAGCGATACTTATGATGGCCATGCCGAACACGAGCGTGCAGATCCGAACGAACATGTCCGACAATACCCAGCACGAATTCGTCGCATTGCTGTCGATGACAATTCTAACTATTTGTTCGCAGTGCATGGCAACGCCCGTCCTGGCCATGCAGACAATAACATACGATGGCTCTCGAAGGGGACCACGCATGTGCTGCGCTGGCACGGTGGCGGAACC